TGTAAACATCTGTGTCCAGAACTAGCCCCTAATAAATAAGTGCCGAAAAATTGCTGAAATAAATCTGAACTAGACCCGAAATGGTTCCGAATTAAACTCAAAAAAGTCCTGAACTAGTCCCAAAATCATTTCATTGTTTTTAATATTTCCGTATTGCTTTGTATCAACCCACTAGTATACTACAACCACTTGCAGCAGGTGTTTCTAATGAAAAATTCCAGATTCTTTGCTGGGTTACTTTTAACTATTCCAAATTTTCTGCTGGGTTAACGCAAAGTGAAACCGAGCGTTCAGGTCACCCAAAAGAGGTCGTCACGCCAGAAATCGTCGACAAAATTCATGGAATGATAACCTTCGATCGGAGAATAAAAGCGTGTGAGGTGGCTGAGGCTATCAGCATCTGAACTGAGGGGATATTTGGTTCATCCGTCGGAAAATTCAGCCTCCATGAGGAACCGTCCGATAACGGACTGAAACTGATCGACTTAGCCGGCCACAAACTTACCAGTAAGAAACAGTACTACGGTGCCACTTTTATGGCTGTCTCCAGATCGAAAAAACGAGAAACAAAATCGATCATGTTGCGATAGACGAAAGGCACGCTTCCAGCGTTTTAGACGTACATACATACATACGTACACTTCGAGGCTCATACATCGATTCGGACCACGTTCTTGTTGCAAGCTAGAAACGCACACGCCTCTGTGCAGCAATAAATGCGAGTCCAGAAACACAAGTAAAGCCCAACGTCAAAAAACTGTAATCAGAACAGACAGTCAGTTCATTCGCCTCGCGACTTTCACACCTGCTCTCTGATAACACTCTTCAACAAACCGACTTATGCGATCAGTGGAACCACATTTTCCGTTCATTAAGTACAGCCGCCGAAGAAGAATTGGATTTCAGCGAGCTCGAAAGAACTGGTACGATGAGGAATATCACGAAGCTGCACAGAGAAAAGGTGCCGCTAAGAGGGTCACTCTGTGATCGGACGCAAGGCGAGCTATGTGAGACCGATATAGCGAGCTGCAGAGGGAAATGAAACGTATTTTTTCGTAATAAAAAAAGAGAGGCCGAAATACGGAAGTGGGAAGAGCTTCAAATGCTGGCCCCGCGAATTGATTGCGCCTTATCAGTGAGGCTGTAGACATGGCAAATGCACCATACGCCAAATATTGTAAAAGACCTGCGATAATATTAAAGATCGACACAAGCCATTTATTTGTCGATTTCGGGATCCTCAGCGGTGGAAAGGCAGAAGTGGAGAATGATTTGGCTTCACTTGGAAACGACTGGCGTGCTTAATTGGACTCGACGGGAATCGCTTAGGCGTTTGCAGCTTCATACATATGTACATATATACATACATATCTATCAAATTCAGCTGTATATAAAACATACAGTTTTACAGCGATGCAGCATTTTTTACTTAAGACGGTCAACGTAATTTAAGGCCAGAATGCAGCTCTCAAGAAAAGCAAAAACTCCATATAAAATAACGTAACAAGAAATAGCTAAGAAATTTTATTGAGACAAATTTCCATACTACGGTTTTCTAAAGTTTTTTTGTGAAAAAGGAGCACAGGGCAACCCATATTTGCAGCAGAAATATATGCCCATTGCATTATTTCTTGAGGAAAGAGTGAGGTCGCAGGCTGTGAAGCATCAGATGTCAAAATTCCTTGGACGCACACCCGAAATAATGACCGTTTTCTTGAGAGCTGCATACTGACCTTTAGCATGTTCCCGTACACCAGGATTTGGTCAGAAATAGTTCGAAGTCGTTACTGTACACTGGAAGAGGCTAATTGTCTACATCGTCATTGAACAAATTCATCAGGAGCACGTCGGCCTGATATTTTTCGATTTCCTGCAGGGTACCTACTATGTGCACACACACACTTTCTCACAAATTCTATAACCGGACGCGTTCTGCAATCAGTTGAACCACACAATCATTATCATTCGTCACAATCATTATCCATTGCATAATTTTAGGCAAGTGTTGCAAAAATCTACGGAAATATTTTAAACCCGCGCTCGAAATGTTAAAAAAAGTACAATTTGAAAAAAAGTTAGTTGGGTTGGATTATATATCTATATATCAATTATATGTATGTACTTTGAAAAATACTTTCCTTTGTGCAAATCCACGGTTAGTTCGTCATTTAATCGGCGTGGTAGCATGGGTTTATAGCATTCATACATACATACATACATATGCATATCGTTCATCACATTTGGTGATTGCACAACATGCGTTCGTACATACGCTGTTGGTTCGGAGGTAATATGGTAAAATCTGAAAATGTTCGTAAAATTGCTATGTAACTAAGTTTAAAAAAAATTTAGCAAAATTCTTGCTGCCATAACATTATTTTAGTCATAAAATGTTTTTTTTGAATCAACTTACTCACTGCATGTATGTAGTAGTAGATAAGCATGAAGATTTAAAAATATTTCTCATAAATGTAATTATGTATATTTGTGTCTCTTTCACTCATTTATAATTCAATATTATAAAATATTTAAGATACATTCAAAAATTTACTTAAGTTTTACGTTATGTATTCGTATTTTATGTATCAATTTTTTAAATATTTTTTGATGTTCTGATCTAAATTTTAAATTTTTAAAATATTTGCTCGAATTTCCACATAAAAATGTCCAATTCGGTATGTAGCGTTACAGTATTTACAATTAACTAGGAAATGTTGTTTGAGAAAATAAAAACACTGAAAATGAATTCTTTACTAATATATGTATATTTTTTTTTTTAATTTTTTGCAAAAAACCTAGGTGTATTTGAATACATACATTCATACATATTTTATTGAAGTTTTTATAAACAATTTTTTTGCGCAGGCCAGAGTCATCCTCGATCTTAATAAATATTATTATTTTTTGCTTTTATTTACATGTCTATGCATACATACATATGTATGTGTATGTATNGTGTATTTGAATACATACATTCATACATATTTTATTGAAGTTTTTATAAACAATTTTTTTGCGCAGGCCAGAGTCATCCTCGATCTTTATAAATATTATTATGTTTTGCTTTTATTTACATGTCTATGCGCATACATACATATGTATGTGTATGTATTTTTCCCTTATCGTTAACTAACATTGAATTTTAGTGAAGCAAACAGGGTGCCTTGGGGATACCCCTTTTTTCATTCAACACGGTTTTTCTATATTAAACTTAATATACGTATGTGGTTTTTGTTTGGAAAATAAAGGAATTTAAAGTGTTTTAAACAAAGCAAAGAATTACTTTCGTTTTAAAGTCTACTAAAGCAGCGCAATCACATTTCACTTTATGTGGCCTTTAAGTGGGATAGAATTAACCAAATGACAAGTTGACTATATGCTTCCTAAGATTTAATCAGGCCATACATTTATAGCTAAAATGGGTTTGTGGGAGCTGCGTTTGTATGTATTATCAAGACAAGCGATTGGTAGCATTTAAGCTGCGGCTGTAGGTTCAAAGAAAAATTAGGTGCATAAAGCAGTCATCACTGGTGAAAATTCGTGCTCGTAGGCTTCATTCGTCAAGNTTTCATTCAACACGGTTTTTCTATATTAAACTTAATATACGTATGTGGTTTTTGTTTGGAAAATAAAGGAATTTAAAGTGTTTTAAACAAAGCAAAAAATTACTTTCGTTTTAAAGTCTACTAAAGCAGCGCAATCACATTTCTCTTTATGTGGCCTTTAAGTGGGGTGGATTTAACCAAATGACAAGTTGACTATATGCTTCCTAAGATTTAATCAGGCCATATATTTATAGCTAAAATGGGTTTGTGGGAGCTGCGTTTGTATGTATTATCAAGACAAGCGATTGGTAGCATTTAAGCTGCGTGTGTAAGTTTAGAGAAAAATTAGGTGCATAAAGCAGTCATCACTGGTGAAAATTCGTGCTCGTAGGCTTCATTCGGCAAGGACAAAGTATACACAGAGCAGAATTTATTAAAAACAAAAATTGCTAATTTAGTAGTATGTATGTGGGTTACATTTGTTACATCTGTTCTAATTAAAAATCTTTCTATATCAACTTTAAAGCTGCAACGATTGGTAAAGAAGCCCATCTGGGCAATGATAGTATATTCTTCATACAACAACACAATTACCATTAAAAAGGGTATTTTAAATTGAAACTAGATAAACAATAGCTACTAATGAAAGTGGGAAGCTGCAATCCTACGCTTCACAATTAAAATTACTTTGTGCCTTTAAAATTTTTAACAGAAAACACAATTTCGTATAATTTTTAACAAATTTAAACCGCCTAATATGTACATACATATGCATATGTATAACCCGGCAGTTTCCCGGGTTAACCTGTGAACACTGCTATGTTATTTATTGACAGCAATTTAAAGGTTCTTTGCTTGCAGCTATAATCCCTTAAAGAACACTCGCACGCAATAACATCCCAGCTCAGTATTCAGATCACCAAACCAAAATGCCACGCCCACATCTACTACCCACTTTCTCAACAATGAAAAATAATCGCCCATTCGTCTGTGTTCACATACACGCTCGCATACGCACCNCATTTGTTACATCTGTTCTAATTAAAAATCTTTCTATATCAACTTTAAAGCTGCAACGATTGGTAAAGAAGCCCATCTGGGCAATGATAGTATATTCTTCATACAACAACACAATTACCATTAAAAAGGGTATTTTAAATTGAAACTAGATAAACAATAGCTACTAATGAAAGTGGGAAGCTACAATCCTATGCTTCACAATTAAAATTACTTTGTGCCTTTAAAATTTTTAACAGAAAACACAATTTCGTATAATTTTTAACAAATTTAAACCGCCTTATATGTACATACATATGCATATGTATAACCCGGCAGTTACCCGGGTTAACCTGTGGACACTACTTTGTTATTGATTGACAGCAATTTAAAGGTCCTTTGCTTGCAGCTATAATCCTTTAAAGAACACTCGCACGCAATAACATCCCAGCTCAGTATTCAGATCATTAACCAAAATGCCACGCCCACATCTACTACCCACTTTCTCAACAATGCAAAATAATCGCCCATTCGTCTGTGTTCACATACACGCTCGCATACGCACTNGGCATTAGCTAAAATATTTGGTGACACTATTGAGCCAACAGCAGGCAATGCATCTGCAGGCTGACCATAAGTGTTCAAATAGGGTTGTGGCGAACCGGGCGGTGACATAGGTGTCAAAGTGTTGTTGTTGCTGTTATGCATTTGTATAACAGGTGTTAATGGCAAAGTACCCGCCGCAATACTGAGGGCCACAGTTGAATTGATTTGGCCTAAACTCGGTCCACTCATGTCTGAATCACAGCTACTTTCATCGCTAATGCCGTTGATAAAATTGCGCACATAACCGTTTATTAGCGGGTCGCCAGGTTCGTCTTCGTTGAAGTCGAAAGCCACTACAAGTCGGTCCGGATCGCCGTCGTCTGACATGCCGGACGAAATAGACGCGGTGTCTGAGGCGCTATCGTCATCAAAGTCGGAAAGTGAAGAAACCGAGGCGCTCAAGGAATTCGAGGACGTTACACTAAGACTCGACGTGCTAGGTCGCACATCGGTGGAAGTACGCCGAAAAATGTAATCCTTGCGTATTGGGCCCGCTTTGCGTTTGCGCGCCCGTGAGGCATCGATTTTCTTTGACAAGCCGCCTGGCACGCCCGGCATGGGCGCACCGCCAGCGCCATTATTTGATTTCATTGGTGCCACATCACTGAGATCAGCCTCGTCCACCATAACCATATGCTTGTCTTTTTTGTAAGGATTGCCAAACATGTGCTGCCTAACATTCGTTGGTTCGATCTCACGCAACGGGTTATCTTTATTCTTCAAATATTCCTGGTAATTGCCCATTTCAGCTATGGGCAGGCAGTGACCAGAATCTTTAGCTACTAGACTTGTGGGCGCTGGCCGAAGAACAGCTTCCCGCATGCGCGCTATTTCTTCCATCAAATCACGACGCGGTATATCGAACGGATTACGATACGATTTTGCTGAAGCTTGGCGCGTCAGCTGTGGTACAACTATGGTGTAATTCTCCAGCGGCTCAATCTCTGCGTGTAGTTTGGAAAACGTTTCTCTCAACAATGGATGGCGCACAAGATCGCGTCGCAGCGGAACACCCGGATTCAATTTTGCTGTTTCGATCTGGCGATACGGTGGTTTCGGCTGTTTTAGTTGCTTATATACCTTCAAACAGAGATTTTCCTGATCCTGTTTGGCGGTATTCTTGATATGCTTCAACTGGTTGGCAATGTTCGGTGACAGGTAGTTGTCGATATTTTCTGGCAACAAAAATTGGAGCAGCTGATACGGTACATTGATGTTGAGCAACGCTTTTCGCAGAAATGGGCAGTAGTATGGCGGTATTGAGCGCACGTAAGCATTAAATTTGTACATGAGATCGTTGGGCGGACTCATGTTGTACTTGTGTATGAGGTCGTGCAGCAGCGGCAATAGCGCCGGGTAATTATATGCTAACACATAGAGGTGCACCTGTGTAAAATTTGGTGATGCCTTCAAATAGCCAAAGGGTAAGTCGAAGNTGCAGCAGCGGCAATAGCGCCGGGTAATTATATGCTAACACATAGAGGTGAACCTGTGTAAAATTTGGTGATGCCTTCAAATAGCCAAAGGGTAAGTCGAAACCGTGCATACCGTTCGATATGATCACCTGCCAGCATTTGTTCATTTCACGTTTTTGAAGTATTTGCAGAGTTAGCGGACTACCTTCGATCTCGTACTTGTCGACGGGGAAGCTGCGCACCATTTGCGGTTCGTCGACAGCGGGAGTGACGACTTTTAATTTGGGATGCGCATCGCGCGGCGGCAGGGTAACTGCCTTCGGGTCCGGCCAGTATGGCTCCGGTAGTGGCCAGTAACCGATGGGGAAGGTCTTTTGTGTAATATGCTTTTGTACGTATATCATTTTTTTCATGGGCTGGAAAATTATGTCTTGCAGCGCTTCGTTTGGCACACCATCCTTCGGTAACATCGGTTCAAATTGTAAAACCACGCCCGGCTGCACCTTCTGCACTAAACTTTCTATGCACTGATTGAGTACATAATGCGAACGCACACGATACGAACGGCCACCTGTCACGACACACATGCGTTCTATTGGCGAATCATCGTGTGGTACTTTACCCTCAACACGCTCATCAACTTTGTTGCCAGGCATGCGCAATACTAAGGAAAAAAGTCGTTGATCCCAACGAAATGGTTCTTTTGTAAAATTTGTTCCTGGTATTTGTGTATTCAACGGCAGTATGATCTCTTGATGCACACCATTACGATATGAGTAACGACCTCCATCAGTAATCACAATTATTACCGACGGCTCCAAATAGAATGGGCAACGGCCCTGTCCGTACGTGTCGATACCGGACTGCATACGATTCAAATTAAGTAAATCGAAGGCATTCTTTAGCGATTCCCCCATTGAAGTTAGCCCATTGCTCTGTAGATTTTTCAACTCATTCATGAATGTTGCATGATTCTCCTTCCAGCCGGCCTTAACGTTTGCTGGTGGTTCCTCAAAAGTTAACAACATATAACGATCGCCAAGGCAATCCTGAGTGCGTTGACGATATTTGAGGAATGTCTCGACCGCGCCTTTTGCTATGTCCAGATATGACTTTTGTACGCCATTTACATATGCTTTCTGGCACATCGACGCGGATGTGTCGACTAAGAATAGTATAATGGTCATAGCGACCGTACAGAAACCGTGGAAAATCCTCTTTGGTCCTCGGCGATGAGCTCT